AAGCGAATGCCTGCAGCCTGGTGCGCACCCTCCTCCTGTAAAGAACACCGACAAGGCATCCAGGGACTTGGGGCGCTACCGAGGGAGGCCTGAACCCTCGGACGACACCCCCAGTTTGCTGCATGACTTTGGGTCAAGTCCCGGCGCCTCCTGAGCCCATTTCCCGGACTGCAACCTGACGGAGCTGTCGAAATCCAAAGGGATTTCGCCCGTAGAAGGGCAAGGATCCCGAAGAACGCTGCCAGGGTCGGCCAGGTGTGCAGACACCTGTCCTTGGCCGTTGCTGGGATGCATGTGAAGCGGGGCGGCCCGGGGGTCCCTCGAAGCGTTGGTTGCATGTAGTAGAATCGCCACTTGACCCCGTGTCCCCCGTTCTTCGAAGAAGGGTAGACAGGAACGCAACCCCCTGTACACCAATATTCACCGTAGCCCTGCTCACAAGAGCGCAAAGATGGGAACAGCCCAGACGTCGGTCTGTGGGTGAACTCCCATTGCAGTGACAACCTCAGGGGCACACCCACCCTGTCCTGTGAGGTCACCCCAGTCGGCATGGGCCACGGGGCAGTGGATGGGATGCAGCTGTGAAGAGAGGACGTTCACAGTATGTCACAATGTGTCGAGCCAGGTCAGATCGTGGATGCACTTTGAAAACCTTACACTGAGCAAAATAGGTCAATTACAAAAGAACAATGCTCTATGATCTCACGCGAAATAAGCAAATATATAGAGACCACAGATAATGAGTGGTTACCAGGGGTGAGAGAAAGGGGGAAAGGGGGAGTTTTTTATGGGGGCTGAGGGGGCATGGAGTTAATGTTAATGGTGGTGGGATGTTTTAGATGAGGGCAGAGATAATGGGCACACAGCATGCGTCCCGGAATTATAGATATGGGAGTTCTTACCTCCATGGATGTTCTCGTATGTGTGTTTCACACACATGGGGGCGGGGATACTCGTTAATTGTATGGAACTGGTATTTTCATTGAGTGAGATGCCAGAGTCTGACTGAAGTTTTACAAAGAGCTCTTCTTTCTTTTGTTAAAGAGCTTTTCTTGAGAGGCAAGGTAGTTTTCAAACGGGGAATCCAAGATCCAGAGGATCTGAACTAAGTGACCCTACCAGAAGACAGTTCAAGGGGTTTTTATAAGAAAATACAAGGAACTTCAGTTAAAAAAAAAATCAGTAGTTGGTTGACATTTAGGTAATAGTTACAAAGTGAATGTGGTTACACCTAACTGGTAGGAGATGACATACATATGGAAAACATTTTTTAAATGACAATATGATTGTTAAATTGGAGACATCTGGCAACCAAGCACACATGTAAGCTCCTCCTTGCATGCCTCAGGGAGGCCATGAGTAATTCTAAAGTTTATTTTATTTTTTAACAGTTTTATTGGCATATGAGTCACATAGCATACAATTCAATAGTTCAATCATATTAAGAAACATTGTACAATCATCACCACAATTTTAGAACTTTGTTTGATTCCTGTACTCATTGTTATTAATAGGATTTCATATACAGAAGAGAGAGAGAGAGAGAGAGAAACCTCGAAATGAAAGCTGAAAATAGTAACAATCGAAACAAATTACAAAGGGTCAGCAGGAACATCCATAGATAAAGTGTTAACATTTAACTTGACTGCATCTCACTCCACTTTCCAATACACTCGGCGCGATAGCACTAAAATATATTTTGAGTAAACAGCTAAGAATTGCTCTGGATACAGTTTAAGAGGCAAGCTCTAAACTCTTCCAAAAAACAAACTCACTGCCATCAAGTCCATTTTAACTCACAGTGACCCCATGGGGCAGCGCAAAATTGCCCCTGTGATTTTCTGAGACGCTGGGGTAGAAAGTCCCATTTTTCTCCCAAGGAGTAGCTAGTGGTTTCAAACTGCTGACCTTGCAGTTAGCGGCCTGTGGGAAACAGAAAGATTTCTCCCAAGACTTAGGACACAGCTTGCAACTAATGGTAAATGATTGTGACGTTACCTCCAGGAAGGCAGTCAGTAGCCAGACTGGTCCCACCAGGGCCCGCTCCCTGCTGCTAAAGACAATAGGCTACTTCTTAAAGGCGAGAGGCCATCAATTTGGTCCC